TTTTTTTTTTTTTTTTTAATCATCCAACTCTTGATTTCAGCTCAGGTTATGATCTCGCAGTTCATGAATTCGAGCCCCACATCGGGCTCTGTGCTGACTGCATGGAGCCTGCTTGGGATTCTCTCTCCCTCTCTGTCTCTGTCCCTCTCCTTCTCTTTCTCTCTCAAAATAAATATACTTTTTAAAAGTGTGAAGTTTTAATCTCTCTTGGAAAATAGATCTGGTCACACTAGGACCAACTTCCTGCTCAGTAGTAAATGTGAGACTGGGTAGCAGCTGCCTCTTTTGTGAAAATGTACCTTCCTCTTTGCCACAAACCCCACCATTCCCTGCTGCATCTCCTACCATACGCCAAGTGTGAATTTCCATTTATCATCTCACATATGCTGTTTTGCTTTTGTTTTCTTTTGTAATAGAAGTAAGAAAAGAGGGAACTATTGCTTCTATTCAGGTCATGATTGAAAGTAAGAAAAAGAACAAAGGATCAAGAAGGCTCCATATGTCTTGCCCTAAATATGCTTTACTCACATACAGTACATCCTTGACTTCTATAAGCATTTACATTTGCCTCCTCTGGTCTGTACTCTGTCGTCCCAGGCCCTAGACCATGCTGGCCTTTAGAATTTTCTCAGGCTGCCACCCACTGCTGGAAAAGCTAGATGTAGGGGGGAAACAATGGGCATTATTTAAGCTTACATTTTTATTGTTACCCAAACTCAATATTGCTCATCATCAACTTTTGGTGGAAATTATTTCTGTTGTTTTTCTTAATTGCCTCCAAATGTAACTGGAGACTGAGACAGAACAGCAGAGAATACAGCACCCACCTTTCCTTTCTGTGAACATGTGTTGTTGGAGTACTCAGACATGAAATTTTGTTTATCTGTGCATTCACTCAGTCATCAAGCTCTGGCTACACTTACAGATGCAAGGACCCCTAGCTTCAGCATCAGGATCCCCTAAAGGTTTTCCTCAGAAGAAGCAACAATACAAGCAAAGACCCACATGGAGATGGGAAAGTATGGATGGGGCAAATTTAAGCTAAGGGGTTGGACTTCATTTATAGGTAGTGAGGAGCTGTTGAAGGATTTTTGGAGCAGGGAAGGCATGTGAACACAGCTACCAATGGTGTGCGGGACAGCTCCAGAGGCAGGAGCAGCAGTTAAGAGACTATTGCAGTGACCTGAGTGATGAGATATGTGACTAAGTTGGGGAGGGTGGAATAGAAAGAAGACGGAGGTGGGGAGGAGCGCCTGGGTGGTTCAGTTGGTTAAGCATCCGACTTGGGCTCAGGACATGATCAAGCGGTCCATGAGTTTGAGCCCAGTGTCGGACTCTGGGCTGACAGCACAGAACCTGTTTGGGATTCCCTCTCTCTCCCTCTCTCTGCCCCTCCCCCACTTGCTCCCTCTAGTTCTCTCTGGATCAAAATAAATAAATAAACATTTAAAAAAAGAAGGGGAGGACAAAGTTGAGAGGCATCTTGAGATTAGGCTTGGCAAATCATTAGATGTGGAGGAGGCTTGAACCAAGAGATGAAGAATCAAAGATTATCCAGAGATGATGAGCCCTAAGGGTTTAAAACACCAAAACCGTGATCCAAAAAATTAAATTTTGTTTTGCAACAGTTAAGAGAACAAAAAGACAAGTTACATATTGAGATAAAATATTTTCAAATCGTGAACCTAACAACAGATGTGTATCTAGAATATATAAAGAACTCTCCAAACTCAACAGTAAAAAAAAATCCAATCAGCAAAAGACATGAAGGGGATATACAGACCACAAATAAGCACATGAAAAGATGTTCAACATCATTCACCATTAGGAAAATGCAAATTGAGACCACAGTAAAAGATCTCTACACACATATAGGAATGGCCAAAATAAAAACTGGTGAAACCACCAAATGCTGACAAAAATGCTGAGAAACTAGATCCCTTATACATTGCTGGTGGAAATGCACAATGGTATGACCACTCTAGAAAACAGTTTGACAGTTTCTTATCAAACCAAGCATGCAACTACCTATGATACAGCAATTGCTCTCTTGGGCATTTATCCCAGAGAAATGAAAACTATGGTCACAAAAATTTCTACATGGATGTCCATAGCAGCTTTATGTGTAATAGCCCCACATTGGAAACAATGCAGATGCCCTTCAATGGCTGATGCACACTCTGGTGCATCCAGACCATGGAATCCTACTCTGCGGTAAAAAGGAACAAACTTAACATACAACTTGAATGGATTATAAGGGCCATATGCTGAGCAAAGAAAGCTAATCTCGGGGGCGCCTGGGTGGCTCAGTTAAACGTCCAACTTTGGCTCAGGTCATGATCTCACGGTTCATGAGTTTGAGCCCCACATTGGGCTCTGTGCTGACAGCTCGGAGCCTGGAGTCTGCTTTGGATCTGTGTTTCCCTCTCTGTCTGCCCCTCTACCGCTCATGCTCTGTCTCTCTCTCTCTCAAAAATGAATACGTATTTTTAAAAAAAATTATGAAAGAAAGCCAGTCTCAAAAGGTCATATACAAAATTATAGAACTGGAGACCAGATTGATTGTTAGAGGTTAGAGATTAGGGGGGAGTTACTGTAACAAGGTACCATGAGGGGAATCCTTGTGGTGATGGGATAACATTCTGTATCTTCTTGTGGTGGGGATTACACAAATCTACATGTGATAAAACTGCAGAGAACTGTACATTTACAAACACAGAAACAGACACACACACACACACACACACACACACACACACACGTGTGCATGTAAAACTGGTAAAATCTGAATGTGGTCTGTGAATTGTACCAATATCAATTTCCTGGGTTTGATATTTAAATAATCATTATGAAAGATGTTGCCACTTGAAGAAACTTATTGAAGGGTACCTCTTGGTATTTTTTTTCAACTTCCTATAAATCTATAATAATTGAAAAATTAAAAAGTTAAGTACTCCCCCAAAAAGGAATAAGTTGTTGATACACCTACAAGTTTGCATGACACACAAAGGAAGTGTGCTGCATGAAGCAAGGCAATCATAAAAGGTTATACACTGTGGTTTTTTAAATTTTTTAATGTTTATTTTTCAGAGAGAGAGAGAGAGAGAGAGCACAAGTGGGGGGGTGGGCAGAGAGAGAGAGAGACACAGAATCTGAAGCAGGCTCCAGGCTCTGAGCTGTCAGTGCAGAACCCAATGCGGGGCTCAAACTCAAGTACCGCGAGATTATGACCAGACCTGTGTTGGACGTTTAACTGCCTGAGCCACCCAGGTGTCCCTACACTGTGTTTTTATTCCATTTAAATGACATTCTGAAAAAGACAACACATAGTGATGGAGAATAGATCAGTGATTGCCAGGTGGTAAGAGAGGAAGGAGAGGATGTGACTGCCAAGGGATAGCTTAGGGAATTTTAGAGGGTAATGGGACTATTCTGTGTCATAAATCTATACATGTGTTAAAAATCATAGAACTATCCATACAAATCAATTTTCTTGTATGTTAAGTTAAAAATAAAACTAGAGGGTGCCTGGCTAGCTCAGCCAGAAGAGCATGCAACTCTTGATCTCAGGGTTGTGAGTTTGAGCCCTGCGTTGGATGTAGAGATTTCAAAATACATACATACATACATACATACATACATACATAAATCTAGATAGGCAAGTGGGTGCTGATTTGTTTTTTCTTTCATTCCTACCTCAATTCACTCAGCCATTTGTTGAGCACCTGCTGTGTGTGAGGCACTGTACTAGACTTTAGAGATCAATCAAAAGTAAGACAGCCCAAGGGTGCCTGGGTGGCTCAGTTGGTTAAGCTTCTGAGTCTTGATTGCAGCTCAGGTTGTGATCTCATGGTTCATGGTATAAAGCTCTGTGTTGGGCTCTGTGCTGACAACATGAGAGCTCTCTCTCTCCCTATCTCTCTGTCTCCCTCCCTCTCTCTCAAAATGAATAAATAAACTTAAAAAGACAGTAAGACAGGGGTGCCTGGATGGCTTGGTCAGTTAAGTGTTGACTTCAGCTCATGTCATGATCTCACAGCTCATGATTCAGGAAGGAGCCCCAGCAGCCCAACGACCTGGAACCTGCTTTGGATTCTGTGTCTCCCTCTCCCTCTCTGCCCCTCCCCTGCTCACACTCTGACTCTGTCTCTCTCTCTCAAAAATAAATAAACATTTAAAAAAATTTTTTAAATGTAAGACAGCCCAGGTACCTGCCTTCATGGGGCATTCTTCCTGTTTCAGAGGAGAAGCTGTCAGTAGTGTCTGGAGCCCAGTGTTTGGGGAAGTGGGGCAAGAAGAAAGCTGTGGAGAGACCAAGTGAGCAAATTTTTCATTCCTGGAGCTCAGTCCTATAGGATTTCAAGTGCTCACTTATCCCTAAAAGACTCTTAGGCCTGAGTGCAGGGGAGGGGGGAAGCTCCCAATTCATATTTCATGGGTCATCACAAGAGAAACTGCTAGAAGTGTTGTGGCCTGCTAAGTCAGGAAGAAATGTTGAGAGTGGGGGAAGATTTGATGCAGTTAGTGAAGAGTGAATTCTGAAAAGTTGCCTGAATTTGTGTGTGTGTGTGTGTGTGTGTGTGTGTGTGTGTGTGTGTGTGTGTCTTAAATAATCATCTGTTTAGCCCATGACTCTGTGGATTGGCAATTGGGCTGGGCTCAGCTGGGCGGTTCTTCTGCTGGTTTTGGCAGGGTTCACCCAACACTGCAGTCAGCTGGCTGCCAAAGGCCTCACTCACTTGTCTGGTGGGTAACTGGTGGTTGTGAGGGTAACTGAACCATGTGTCTCTCACCATCCAGGAGGCTAGCCTGGGCTTGTTCATATGTCAGGGTCCCTGTGTTCCCAACAGCAGCAAGAGAACAAGTCCCCAGTGCAAATGCTTTAAAAAAAAAAAAAAAAAAAAAAAAAGCTTTATCGAGGTATAATTCATGTATGTTACCTGAATTTTGTTTTCTCTCCTGTTTGCAGGGAATCTGAAGCATGTGGTCTAGTTGACAAAAAGAGATCAGGTTTCCAGAGCTGAGGAACAGTGCCTGTAATGAAGACAGCGTGTTTATGCGAGCAGTGTGTGGAATTTGTGACTGCAGGGGAAATTTGGAAGAAATTACTTCCTGAAAATTTCCAAGGGGCACCATGTGGCAGCTGGCCTCCTGGGGTGAGGCAGGCAAGCACCCCAGAGGCCTCAACTAGGCCTAGGGGAAGAGAGAGATTTCCAGCATTTAAAGTGTTTATTTTTTAAAAACACACAAATGCCATTTTTAATCTTTGAAAATTATTTTTAAGCGAGTGGGGAGGGAGTATTTTTATTTTCTTAAAGGAGACATCAGAGGCTGGAGGAAAGTGTGGAGCTTGGGTCACAGGTTTGCGGGGTGGGGAGAACCAAGAGGCAGGGTTTGGGCTTCAGTACCTTCCGGATGGAGTCTTTAGGGGAGGGGGACGGGTTGGCAGAATGGGAGGTGGGGAGAAATCTACCTGTGTTGTTTTTAGGATTATGGATCTATTTTGTTTTTTAATAAAATCTTTGAAAACCTACCTCTTTGTCCCATCATCCTCTTGTAAAGTGCTCTTGACAGTGCACACAGTTCTGGACATTTCCTCTCACCGAAGTATCAAGACTAACCCTGATGTTTCCAGGTTTTGTTCTGGCCCAGTCTGGGAAGCTGACTCTGAGTGCGGGATCCCCGACCCCTCCCTGAGGAACTGGTGTGTCCCCTCTAAGTCCTGGGGACAGAAGGTCCAAGCTGTCCTGTGCCAGGGGCTCATCCAGGACTCCAGAGAAGATGGGCACAGCAACCAGGGAGAGGTCCCGCTGCTGGCCCTATGGGGAGAAGCTATTCCCCTCCCTGGGAGCCCTTTAGGGATGGGAAGGGTAGGAGGCTCACAGATCTAAGGAGGCGCATTTTGATGGATAGTTAGGATACTTGCCTGTAAAATGTAGATAATCAGTACACTTGATTGCAATGGGATACAATTTTTACTGTAATCTGGGGGTGGGAGGGAGTGAAGGTGGCAAAATGTGGATGGGGAATAACAGACAAAGAGAGAGAGAGTGCTAAAGCAGAAGGGACAGCAAAATATGATTTCATGATTTGATTCACCAAGTATTTATGAAGCTCTTTCCACTCCTGGGATTAGGATAGGAGACAAGAATGCAGCCCCATCCTGGCCATCTAGGAACTCCCAGACAGGGCAAAAGAGGAGGGAAAGAACCAGATCCCGACATATTTCTGCTCTGCTACCAGCATGAATCCAGAGGTGTAGGAGTGTTGAGGAAAGAGCCACTCGCCCAGCCAGGACAGCATCACGGAGCATTTTAAAGGGGGTGATATTTGAGCCAGGCCTCTTAGGGTGAGTTGTACTTCTCCAGGCCACAGAGAGGGGGATGGGCATTCCGCAGAAGGGAGTGGAAAAAGCCTTGACCGTATCCAGGATGGGAATAGCCAAGCTTTTATTAAACAACATTGGGGCGCCTGGTTGGCTAGGAATACCAGTCACTCCAAATGCCCACTATTCTAATTATACATGCTCAGCTTAAGGGCAGTTTTACTTATACCCAAAAGAAGGGGGATTAAAAAAAAAATAAGAGGGTGGAGGCACTGAATGAGGCAGTTGGGGGTGGGGGAGGCCAAGGAAGGTAAAATGGGAAGTCTGAATTCCAAGCCTACAAGAGACCACCCAGCAAGGTTTGTTGTCTCAAAGGCTTGCTTAATCCGGTTGCGGGGTGTAGGGGTGTGGGGGGGTCCTCTATACCAGCGATCCACGTCCAAAGCCATCACCCAAATTCCTGTGAAGGCCTCATCCCTAAGAGGTAACCACCTGGTAAAGTGGTAAATGCTAGTGATCCATTTTCCTTTCAAGGAGAACAGACCTGAATGAAAAGGAACTTTTTTCCACTGGATGGCCAATGCCACCTTCTTTTCACCTTAACTAACTACTGCTGTCTTAGCCCGACCTCTGACCAACAGCACCAAAGCAAGCTGTAGCACTGACCCGCTGCTGGACATCCCAGAGGCCAGGCTTGTTCCTGACAGTGCACCACCTCAATGGCCTTCAGGATTCCTTTTTATTTGGTTCTTGTTGAAAATGTTAGGCTAGGGGCGCCTGGGTGGCGCAGTCGGTTGGGCGTCCGACTT